GAAGAGAACTTTTTCTCCCTCTCCCAAGAGACCAGAACTCGAGTATGTCCTTAACCCCAGGATCAATGCTCCCTCTAAGCTGTGGAGTCTTGTGAGCAAAGATTCTACTTTGTCAGCTCCTCCTGGCATTAAAGTTGTGAGCAGGAGATTTGGCTGCTGTGTGAATTAGTTGGCGCTGCAGCCCTCCTTCCTTGAGCGAGGAGGAAAAATGTGTGAGCTGGAGGCTAAAAAAACTGTGAGCTGGCTCACACCAACTCAGCTTAGAGGGAACACTGCCCAGGATCTTGAATATGTTCTTAACCCCGGGATCTCGAGTTGTGCTCTGAAACAAACCTGGAGAGAGAGTCACTCTGGGGCGATGTTCCCTCTAAGGTGTGGGGTTTTGTGAGCAAAAATTCAACTTTGTGAGCGACTGGCATTAAAGTTGTTAGCGAGTGATTTGGCTGCTGCATAAATCAGTTTGCTCTGGAGCCCATCCCTTCCAAAAAATGTGTGAGCCGGAGGCTAAAAAACTGAGCTAGCTCACACTAACTCAGCTTAGAGGGAACACTGCTCTGGGGACTGGAACAGAAATTAAACGTGTGGCAAAAAAATTGTTTTCCACCATATGTATGATAGAGTGTTGGACTGGAGGGGCCGTTGGCCTGCTCCAACATTGGCTTCTCTGATTGTCTTTTTCACCCATCCAGGCAGCAGTGGTAAGAAACCCTCGATGTCTTCTTCAGTATCTCTGTATGGTGAGGGGGAAAGATCCATCATGAACCCTGCTCAGGTAAGTGGGGGGGGGGGATCACTGGGGAGACGGGAATGGTTTCTTCTGTGTCACAAGCAGGGCTATTTTGGGGCAGGAACGCACAGGGACGGAGTTCCGGCTGGCTCCTGAGTTGGCCACGCCCAGCAGGAACTCATTAGCATAATAGGCCACACCCAACAGCAGAAACCCATTAGGAAATAGCAGAAACTCATTAGGATTGGCTACATTATGGGTGTGTGGCCTAACATGCAAAGGAGTTCCTGCTACAAAAAAAGGCCCTGGGTTTTGACAACAAACAAGGTAAACAGAATAAGAAGCAAAAGGTGGGTGTGGCTGGATGACCACACTTCTGGTAACATGGGGGTGCGGCCTAATGTGCTAATGAGCTGTGCTGTCAGGGGTGTGGCCCAATATGCTAATGAGTCCCTGCTGTTGGGTGTGGCCTATTATGCTAATGAGTTCCTGCTGGGCTTTTTCTACAAAAAGAGCCCTGGACAAGGCTCACCAAATCAGGTTCTTTACCCTTGGTTCAGTTCCAAGCCTGTCTTGGATTACGTGTGCAGAGGTTCCCCAACAGGGAGAAGAAAACAGTACGGGTTACCAACCTCCAGGTGAGGCCTAGAGGTCTCCTGGAAATCATAACTTATCTCCAGAATACAGAGATTGGGGGGAGGGGGGCAGGCTTTTTGGCATCAGAAGAACCCTGCTGAA